CGAACCTGGGACCCTGCTTGTCATGAGCAATGCTCTAACCACTGAGCTATGGGACCAGGCTGAACCTAGAAGGCGCTGACAAGTTTTTCACTCCAAAGGCAGCTCACAACACGTGCCACACATACTGATGGCACTTGGGTCTTTTTCCCTCCCCCAGGGGACCAACCACGGTCAGTTTCTGGAAACTACCAGAGGTGAAAGAAAGTGATTAAATTTGGAAAGGATGGGAGAACTTCAAATTCAAAGGATCAGTCGGGGAAGTGAACTGCCTGAAAAGAGAAAAAAACGCCAGACCCACCAGGACTCGAACCTGGGACCCTGCTTGTCATGAGCAATGCTCTAACCACTGAGCTATGGGACCAGGCTGAACCTAGAAGGCGCTGACAAGTTTTCTACTTGTCAGCGCCTTCTAGGTTCAGCCTGGTCCCATAGCTCAGTGGTTAGAGCATTGCTCATGACAAGCAGGGTCCCAGGTTCGAGTCTTGGTGGGTCTGGCGTTTTTTTCTCTTTTCAGGCAGTTCACTTCCCCGAATGATCCTTTGAATTTGAAGTTCTCCCATCCTTTCCAAATTATTATTATTATTATTATTATTATTTGAAACTTTGACAAGTGCCTTATTTTGACTGGATGTGTGTTTGCGTGGATACTTACGACCCAACACGTACCTTCGTTATTAAATTATTATTATTATTATTATTAGCATCGCTGGCTTCAAGCGAAGGTCCCTGGTTCGAGTCCTGGTGGTGACAGTCAATTTTTTCTTCAGACTTTTCCCGTTTGTCTCTTCCCCTCAAACCAGTTAATATTTTTTGACTTGGGGCTCCCCGCGTGCTAGTTTGTACGTGAAGTGTGGGGGGTTACAGTGAGGGCTGCGTCCCATCCGCCTGTGTGGATTCACAGGAAGTGTGAGTTACAAAATCTGAAGAAAATGTTGAACGGCACGAAGGTTCTCACATCGTACAAACTTAGTAGCATTCTGCCATACGATTTTCTTTCCTTGGCTGTAAATCAAGGTGGGGCGCTCTCGCGAGACGGGGCGCTCTGGCGGTACTTTACGGTAGTTCCAACAAATCTTCGAAGCATTAACCTACACCCCTCCAACTTGAAAGACTCAGGTGCGGAAAGTTCCAATGAGGGGAATGGATGTGCCACGAAAATGTGCACGGGCTACGTGCCTTGGCGACAAAGAATTTCGAACGTTACGGGATGATGATGGCGAGACTAGTAACACCATTGGACAAACTGATCTAACGAGAACTCGAAAACGCAAGGCAACTTGGGAGGCACAAAGGTATGTACAAATACGTCAACAGGGGAAGGTAAGCGAAGACAAACTGTCACAAACCGAAAGTACGTCGTGCGAAACCACTTGCTCATGTACAAAACTTGTCCATCATCGTTACATCAACATGGAGTTTAGTGATTAATTCGGGGTGTCCATACCAACTTTAGCATTACTGCACTGTGTAGGATAAAGTCATCCAAAATCACCAAAAAATGGGAGCTAACCAGAGCCATACATGATCGTTTTTGTATGAATGGAATGCTGTACTCGATCTGATGTGCTGTCATTGTGCAGAACACCCTTGTCAGGGAGACGTGAAACTCTATTACCTGGCTAATTCTCCCTCGTCAGAAGGTCGCACTATGAAGGAGGCTCAGGATGCATGTCAGGAGAGGGCAACTGACGTGCCAGGACCGCTACTTAAGCCCTGCATGCAAGAGTTCCTCCAACTCATCGTTGTTGATAAAGCTCAGTGCGAACAGCCCGATTCTTCCCCTTACGAATACGCCACGTGCGTGATCAAGGCGTTCAGAAGTGGAATTGCCTGGTTTGGATTCACCCGTTCCGGATACGACCAGACGGCCCTTGCCACAGATGGGGTATCATACCCTACTGACACGCTGCTTCCAAAAACCATCTGTACATCGGGCTGAGTGGAAACCGCGATTGTTTGCATGGAGTTCCGCATGTAGTTCACGGAACTCAGTCCACCACATCCGCATGTTTTCCTTTGTGCACTAATGTTAAGTCAATATGCTGCTTACTAGTACATAAATTCTCTTTGCTAATTATACGTACAGCTGTTGTCGGTTGCTAATGAAGCTGATGTTGTATTGCAATCTTACCTGATCATACCTGATCAACTCACATTGAACAGGCGATGAGATCGCTCACTGACCTACATTGTATGTATCTATTATTGTAATAATAATGAACGAATAAAAGACCTCGGCGAAGCCGAGGTCTTTTATGAGGTCTGGTACTCCGCTTAGTTGATTATTGTTATTGCCGCTCCGGTGTCTATCTCAAACACAACAGGATTGCCAGCAAGACTCACACTCCACCTATAAGGATCCACGTTGGAACGCACATGACCCGAGCAACTGGTGTGATGCAGCTCAACGCTGTATTCCGCCGTCTGGTCAGGTGATGCGAACTCAGAGGCTCTCTGCTCAGAAAACTGACGCACAGCCTTCGTCCGGCATACCTTTGCGAAATGATTCGACCTGCTGCAGGACTTGCACGTCTTGCCCCATGCTGGGCAATCCGAGCGGTTGTCGTGCCATTTCCCCCCGCATCCGCTACATTTGCGAACGGTCTTACTGGAAGGACTGGGCTGGTCACGACTTGATGGGTGTCGCCTCTCCACCTTATTGACTTGGGGATGTTCAGGCTTGCTGAAGCTGCTGGCCCCGGCCATGGCTGCCACAGACGACATTGTGACTTCCACTGACTGCGCATAAGTAAGGAGGTCTGCCAATGACATGCTGCTCTCCCTGAAAGCCTTTTCACGTACCTTCGACGACACACAGTGCTGTACGACCTGAGACTTTAGCTCTGTGTCCATATCTGCAAACTGACAGTGCTTGCCCAAACGCCTAAGACGAGTTACGTAGCTATCAAGGGTCTCCGACTGAGATTGTTTCTCACGGCGGAACAAGGAGATCTCGTATTCCCTATTGCGCTTCGGACTGAAGTGAGCCGTCAGAGCATCCTTCAAGTCGTCGTAACTTGTAATACTACTGCTGTCAAAGGTGAGGTAGACATCAAACACCTCCTCACCGCCACCATGCAAGAGCTGGGCTCTCTGCCGCTGGTCTTCCGTGATGTTTGCAGCAATCAAATAATTATCGAAACGAGCCAGCCATTTCTCCCAACGAGGGCCAACTGACTCAGGCGGTTCCAGATCAAACGGGTTCAATGATTTTACTGTGCTCATCATGGCAGCTGAATCAAGAACTTCGTCGCCAAATATTATGATCACACCAGAGCAGTTCAGGACAAGGCAAAAGGGAACTGTTGACTTTAACATCAAAGCTAGAACGCCGAACTAGAACGACAGGTAAGCTCAGCAGCACAACGGAAATGCATGCGCGGCTGATACAAACTTAGAGTAGAGGAGTAGAAAGATAATGATCTATCACTTGAGGTAGCTCACTAGTAAGGATATCACACAATGTATGTGATGACATGCGCTAGCCAAACGTGCCTGCCGGTGAGCTGTGTACCTTGTAAAAATACCCCAAAAAACAGCTTTGTGAAGAAGCATTGAACAGAATGCGTTTGAAAAAGGCGCAACTTTCCTCAAGAGCCCTATACTTGCTCAAGTGGAGTCGGTTAACGTATGCACACAAATGGTGTTGCTATATATGGCCTCAGTGTAGCGACTTGTCTTTACGATCTTCCTATAACCTACGTTTTAAAAGTCGATATCCAGGAGGACTGAGGAGCTGGGGAGCTCAAAATCCCATTTTAGAGTAAAATTCTGAGATGGTTTCCCTTCATAGGGGCACTAAAACAAGAAATTGTTCTTTGCTGCCATACTGTACAAGTACAAATTTGCGTTCACGAAATCGTTCGTTATATCACTCCACCAGGAGATTTATTACGTACTAAATTCCGTTTTTGGTCGAGGTCTGTCACCCCGAACGTTCAGAAAAAAACTTCAGTTTGGCACAAACTTTAGTGACTTCATGCCCCCTAATGAATATAGCGAAAGATAATTCCAAACGAAATTTTGTACTTATCCAGTAGTCAATAGGTCAGTTAAATCATGGTAGTACACTCAGATGTCTCTTATCCGGGCACCTTGGGACCGGGCACTGCCCGTATCTCAGATTTGCCCGTATCTCAGATTTGCCCGTATCTCAGATTTGCCCGTATCTCAGATTTGCCCGTATCTCAGATTTGCCCGTATCTCAGATTTGCCCGTATCTCAGATTTGCCCGTATCTCAGATTTGCCCGTATCTCAGATTTGCCCGTATCTCAGATTTGCCTGTATCTCAGATTTGCCCGTATCTCAGGATAACTCATCTACCATGTACTTTATCATAATAATAATTATTATTATTATCATTTTTTAAAGAAATTTATTTGGCAGGCATTGCACATGTTCAGGTTACAGGAAGAATCCATTGATAAAAATGGGTGGATTTCACAGGTTGGTAGTGACAAAAAAAGCACTTGCGCATACGAAAAAAGTTCAAATCCCCCAAATTCCAAGCTTTTTTGCCATAGGAACTCGAGCTGAAGGTGCCCGGTAGAGAGAGGTGCCCGTATCTGAGGCGTCCGGATAAGAGACATTCGGGTGTACTAGGTTCTTCATTTGACCAGGCGAGAGTCTTTTCAGGAGTACTGTGAAAGCCATTATTCTAACCAGGCGCATATATAACGATTTCCCAAAATCGACTAGTTCACGTGTACCAAAGGTAACGATTTTCACTCATTCTCAACGCTCAATAGGACAGTATATGTATCGATTTCTGTATAACGATGTCTATTTACACGACAGATTTCTCCTCGTTAACTCGTTAGAGTTAGCACTTCGTCATATATATGGCTTTTACAGTAACATTTCCTGCTATCGTGGAGTGTGGCAGGTGAACTGTTCATGCAGTCGTCGGCAAGCGTCATGTGGTCCCGTCTCGTCAAATACAAACAAATCTACAACTGCTAAAACGAGAAATTCTGATGAACACATGTGGTTGACTTACTCAGATTGAAAGCACATGCCACAGTGTGCATTTGTCGTGCGACATGCCACTTCGCTCTCTCCTTGCTGTCATGCAAAGTGTAGCTGGGTGATGCCACATTGAGTGGTTGTTCATCATATTTCTCTACCCATGGCTTGTTTCCCTTGGCTGGAGAACCTCCCCTCATTGTAGTCAAAGCGTGATTTAGGCAGTCGACCTCATCACCTCCAGCGGGTAACCGTCCGCCTAGGCGCCTGCACTGCTCCTTCGCCTGTGACAAAGTTGCCGTATTGGCATACACAGCAATGTGAGCTCTGCTTTTCTCACACATGTAGCTACTCTCTATGCACAGAAAACAGCCCGTACACATATACACATTCAGACACATTTGAGCGAGAAGGAGGGAGATATGTACTTCCTCCAGAAACAAAAACTTTGTTACTTTCTTGCACTAAATTCCCATGCACAGAAAAGAGCAAGTGCACATAAACACGTACAGACAGATTTGAGCGAGAAGGAGACAGATATGTGGATAAAGCATTGGGTGTGTAGGCACGCATATGTATAACAATTACATTATCCTAGTTCCGTTGTGCGAGCGTGGATTTATTTAAAAAAAAACAGTGAAGAGAACCGCTCAGGCCCACACGTGCACGCAAACACATACACGCACATGCCTATGCACACATACGCGCGCATGCATGCATGCTCGCGCGCGCACACACACACACACACACACACACACACACACACACACGCACACAGACATCAGAATAAACAATAACAAAACAGCAAGGAGAGTAGGGGGTGCAAAGCAAGCCTGTGCTGGTGAGGCAAGCGAACAACACTGACCTATGGTTAAAGTAGCTTACCCGATTCAAGTTCACACACAACCTTGTGCTTGGGTGCTGGGTCAGATGTTAGATCATAAAGTTTTTCGTCACTCGCATACTGTAAATGGCCGTGTTGGGTGGCCAACCAGGCAAAGCTGCCCCTGGGACGCAGGAAGTCCTGCACGCACGAGGTCTTAGATGCGATCTTTGCATTGAACGTCTTGCAATGTAAGGTTGCTTTGGCAAATGTCATATCCACGGGGAAGTACTTGATGATAGTCGATGGGTGGTAGGGACATCTGATTCCGGCTGTCCAGTTTGAAAAAGAGCACGCACACGCACACGCACGCACGCACGCACGCACGCACGCACACCTGCCCTGTCCTGTCCTCTAGAGCCACTGCCACAGGGGTCACGTGGGCCCCGGAGGGGCATCAGAGAGGAAGATGGAGCACGCAGCCTGATGACGCCGTAGATGGTGGGGCAAACGGAACCGGCGAGAACACACGCATACATGGCTGAACGAATTACGCTGCTGGGCAGTCGGGCGCGGGCCAGTCCTCGAGCACCGGTGACGACCGCGGCCTTGCACAGACCGAAAGCAGCGGGCACACACGCACACACACACACACACACACACACACACACACACACACACACACACACACACACACACACACACAAGCATGCCTCAGACCTTAGCCATGCCCATCGCGGAAGCAATGATAGCGAACAGCTATGACACACACACAAGCACACACACACACATACACACACACACGCACATCCATGTTGAATACCTACGGTAGAATATTTGTCGGAAATCAGCTTTATTGTTTTACCAACAAACAAGTCGAGGTCAATATCCTATTTATCACGATTCGGTCCTTCGGCCCTTTCTATTTTCTATAAATTTTCATGATTGCCATATCCCCTAAATTTGATTCTTGGGAGCTATTATAGCCATTTTAGTATAGCTTTGTACCATAGTGTACACAGGATGTTGCATAATTTAGGTTCAAGACTGTAAGAACAACATAGTTCAGCATCTGCGGCACAGTGGCTGGGTGGTATATGCGGTTGCTTAAGATAGATACTTTTGTGGGTTCGAATTCTGCTTGTTCTCTTCCTTTGTCTTCTTTCTTTCAAATTTTCTTGCTGAAGTGGAGAGAAAATTTTTAAGTCCCTACAAAGTCGAAGGATTTCAATGCCTGAGTGGTCGATATAAACAGTCGATACAAGCGGTCGATATTACGGCAATATGGGTAATATAGGACCAGCCAAGGATCACACGAATTAAGGTCGATTCATACGTCATTTCGAGTACCGGAAAAGCGTTGCAAATAAAGTTGATCTGAGCTCAACTATTTCCTGTACGCGAAATGAAGTATGAATCGGCCTTAAAGGGGAAGTTAAGGCAAAAATTAAAATTTCACCAGTTGTAGTCTTCGGGGTGCTGAGTCGAATGGTCTTGGTCCGAGAAAGCTGAGACCTTCCGTTCCTACTTGAATCCCAATCGAACTCGCGCACTTCCACCGAAACTGGGTGACTGCGCCCTACTAGATGGGGATTTGTATGCAAAATGTCACTAAAAGCGCCATTTCGTTCTTATAAAAGCACGGATGACCACGATTGGCCCATATGTTGTAGTCTTTTGGACGCTGAGTCGACTGGTTTTGGTCCGAAAAGGCTGCGATGCAGCGTTCCTCCTTTATTCCCAATTGAACATGGTTGAACAAGCGGTCACGTGCTCCTGGGTGCCCAAATCACCTGGTCACCACGCTAGCGGGCGACAACTTTCACACCAAGATTCAACTCGAGTTCAACTCGAGTGACAGGACTGCACCCAAAAAAGGTCAAACAGGCTAGTAAGTTGTACCCTGCAGGCACGGTGACCAGGTAGAACATCCTTCTTCACACTGAACGCACGCACTGTCCCAAATATGACGTACAGCTTGACGCACGGATAAGATGGACATACGATACCACGAACATCCTTCTCCACGCGCGCAGAACCGGCGCCAACCCAGGGTAAACGGAGCACCACTGGGCAAAGGTCAGGTCCAAATTGGATCGGCTTGTCTGTCGCCGGTTTTTCGTTGATAAGCTTGGCCAGAAATTCCTTTGGATAGCCGTTGTTCGTAAATATTGACGTCAGTCTGTCTAATTCGTCCTGCAATAGATGAGGGGAACATATTCTATGCGCACGATAAACTAGCGCTTTCACAAGATGTTTCTTCGATTTCGTTGGAGTATAGCGAAGGATGTTCTACCTACCCTTAGTAAAAGTAACCTTATCTATTTCTTTCAATGCCGACAATGTGAAGATCGGTATGTAGGTAGAACCCTTCAGCACCTGGGCGCGCGCATTCGTCAACATGTGCCGTTAAGTTTTGTTCCGCTTGATGCGCGTGAGTGTCGTCCTCGCCGTGGTCGTCCTCCAAAATGTGCTGTCCAGTCCATCGGTGGATCTTCCTCTTCCTGTGAAGATATCACTGCATGCCCGTCCTCCTCCGCGTGTATAGCGCAGGGTCCAGCTGAGAACAGCGTGAAAGATGGTGAAAGACCGACACGTAAACCACCGAAATTGACAAAGGATCTGTCTGCGTCGGGAAGGGTTACGCGAAGCCAAGTAAAAATACGGACTGGTGAGGACGCACGTACAACGACAACGGAAGTGACAACAACAGTCAATATTCGAAAACGTGGTAGACCGCGAAAACGAACCTCAATATCGAGCACCGGACAAGTTGGAGTAAGAAGATCAATAGAAATCCGCAATGGAGGAGACGTAGCTGAAAGGACACTGGGCATAGCGCACACAACGGCTGGTGTCAGAAAACGTGGAAGGCCGCGGAAAAGCAAAGAGGCGGATAGTGGTGATGCCGCGAAGAGGCGAGATGACGGGACATTGGAGGAGACTACACCCAACGGAGCTAAGAATCGCACTTCGTCCATTAAGCAACATCTGTCAGCCCGTACCAATTGTCGTGAGTTGTACAGTGATAATGTGTTCTCAATATTGTCACGTGGTAGATGTGCGTTGCATCTGGCTGTGTTAGAAGCTTTGTATATCCGTAAGTTAGATCCTGAACTTTGCGTACAGAAAGAAAATGTGTTGTCGCTACAATTGTTTGGTGTTACTCCTCGTCGAGGTGTTAACAATGTAAATTAATTTGCTCACTATGTTCTTGTCGCTATTATTATTTCCTTCGAGTTTTTGTGTCGTGCTGAACTTGATACTTTTTCCACCTTGTCACGAGTGTTGTTATCTCATATCTTTACGCTATATAAGTTTTAGTCTTTCCAACTTGAGCCATTCCCTGTATAATCCTTGATGAGAAGGGACCGAAAACGTTCGGATACTTTGACAAGTGCCTTATTTTGACTGGATGTGTGTTTGCGTGGATACTTACGACCCAACACGTACCTTCGTTACTAAATTATTATTATTATTATTATTCAAAGGATCAGTCGGGGAAGTGAACTGCCTGAAAAGAGAAAAGAACGCCAGACCCACCAGGACTCGAACCTGGGACCCTGCTTGTCATGAGCAATGCTCTAACCACTGAGCTATGGGACCAGGCTGAACCTAGAAGGCGCTGACAAGTTTTTCACTCCAAAGGCAGCTCACAACACGTGCCACACATACTGATGGCACTTGGGTCTTTTTCCCTCCCCCAGGGGACCAACCACGGTCAGTTTCTGGAAACTACCAGAGGTGAAAGAAAGTGATTAAATTTGGAAAGGATGGGAGAACTTCAAATTCAAAGGATCAGTCGGGGAAGTGAACTGCCTGAAAAGAGAAAAAAACGCCAGACCCACCAGGACTCGAACCTGGGACCCTGCTTGTCATGAGCAATGCTCTAACCACTGAGCTATGGGACCAGGCTGAACCTAGAAGGCGCTGACAAGTTTTTCACTCCAAAGGCAGCTCACAACACGTGCCACACATACTGATGGCACTTGGGTCTTTTTCCCTCCCCCAGGGGACCAACCACGGTCAGTTTCTGGAAACTACCAGAGGTGAAAGAAAGTGATTAAATTTGGAAAGGATGGGAGAACTTCAAATTCAAAGGATCAGTCGGGGAAGTGAACTGCCTGAAAAGAGAAAAAAACGCCAGACCCACCAGGACTCGAACCTGGGACCCTGCTTGTCATGAGCAATGCTCTAACCACTGAGCTATGGGACCAGGCTGAACCTAGAAGGCGCTGACAAGTTTTTCACTCCAAAGGCAGCTCACAACACGTGCCACACATACTGATGGCACTTGGGTCTTTTTCCCTCCCCCAGGGGACCAACCACGGTCAGTTTCTGGAAACTACCAGAGGTGAAAGAAAGTGATTAAATTTGGAAAGGATGGGAGAACTTCAAATTCAAAGGATCAGTCGGGGAAGTGAACTGCCTGAAAAGAGAAAAAAACGCCAGACCCACCAGGACTCGAACCTGGGACCCTGCTTGTCATGAGCAATGCTCTAACCACTGAGCTATGGGACCAGGCTGAACCTAGAAGGCGCTGACAAGTTTTCTACTTGTCAGCGCCTTCTAGGTTCAGCCTGGTCCCATAGCTCAGTGGTTAGAGCATTGCTCATGACAAGCAGGGTCCCAGGTTCGAGTCCTGGTGGGTCTGGCGTTTTTTTCTCTTTTCAGGCAGTTCACTTCCCCGACTGATCCTTTGAATTTGAAGTTCTCCCATCCTTTCCAAATTATTATTATTATTATTATTATTTGAAACTTTGACAAGTGCCTTATTTTGACTGGATGTGTGTTTGCGTGGATACTTACGACCCAACACGTACCTTCGTTATTAAATTATTATTATTATTATTATTAGCATCGCTGGCTTCAAGCGAAGGTCCCTGGTTCGAGTCCTGGTGGTGACAGTCAATTTTTTCTTCAGACTTTTCCCGTTTGTCTCTTCCCCTCAAACCAGTTAATATTTTTTGACTTGGGGCTCCCCGCGTGCTAGTTTGTACGTGAAGTGTGGGGGGTTACAGTGAGGGCTGCGTCCCATCCGCCTGTGTGGATTCACAGGAAGTGTGAGTTACAAAGTCTGAAGAAAATGTTGAACGGCACGAAGGTTCTCACATCGTACAAACTTAGTAGCATTCTGCCATACGATTTTCTTTCCTTGGCTGTAAATCAAGGTGGGGCGCTCTCGCGAGACGGGGCGCTCTGGCGGTACTTTACGGTAGTTCCAACAAATCTACGAAGCATTAACCTACACCCCTCCAACTTGAAAGACTCAGGTGCGGAAAGTTCCAATGAGGGGAATGGATGTGCCACGAAAATGTGCACGGGCTACGTGCCTCGGCGACAAAGAATTTCGAACGTTACGGGATGATGATGGCGAGACTAGTAACACCATTGGACAAACTGATCTAACGAGAACTCGAAAACGCAAGGCAACTTGGGAGGCACAAAGGTATGTACAAATACGTCAACAGGGGAAGGTAAGCGAAGACAAACTGTCACAAACCGAAAGTACGTCGTGCGAAACCACTTGCTCATGTACAAAACTTGTCCATCATCGTTACATCAACATGGAGTTTAGTGATTAATTCGGGGTGTCCATACCAACTTTAGCATTACTGCACTGTGTAGGATAAAGTCATCCAAAATCACCAAAAAATGGGAGCTAACCAGAGCCATACATGATCGTTTTTGTATGAATGGAATGCTGTACTCGATCTGATGTGCTGTCATTGTGCAGAACACCCTTGTCAGGGAGACGTGAAACTCTATTACCTGGCTAATTCTCCCTCGTCAGAAGGTCGCACTATGAAGGAGGCTCAGGATGCATGTCAGGAGAGGGCAACTGACGTGCCAGGACCGCTACTTAAGCCCTGCATGCAAGAGTTCCTCCAACTCATCGTTGTTGATAAAGCTCAGTGCGAACAGCCCGATTCTTCCCCTTACGAATACGCCACGTGCGTGATCAAGGCGTTCAGAAGTGGAATTGCCTGGTTTGGATTCACCCGTTCCGGATACGACCAGACGGCCCTTGCCACAGATGGGGTATCATACCCTACTGACACGCTGCTTCCAAAAACCATCTGTACATCAGGCTGAGTGGAAACCGCGATTGTTTGCATGGAGTTCCGCATGTAGTTCACGGAACTCAGTCCACCACATCCGCATGTTTTCCTTTGTGCACTAATGTTAAGTCAATATGCTGCTTACTAGTACATAAATTCTCTTTGCTAATTATACGTACAGCTGTTGTCGGTTGCTAATGAAGCTGATGTTGTATTGCAATCTTACCTGATCATACCTGATCAACTCACATTGAACAGGCGATGAGATCGCTCACTGACCTACATTGTATGTATCTATTATTGCAATAATAATGAACGAATCCGAGGTCTTTTATGAGGTCTGGTACTCCGCTTAGTTGATTATTGTTATTGCCGCTCCGGTGTCTATCTCAAACACAACAGGATTGCCAGCAAGACTCACACTCCACCTATAAGGATCCACGTTGGAACGCACATGACCCGAGCAACTGGTGTGGTGCAGCTCAACGCTGTATTCCGCCGTCTGGTCAGGTGATGCGAACTCAGAGGCTCTCTGCTCAGAAAACTGACGCACAGCCTTCGTCCGGCATACCTTTGCGAAATGATTCGACCTGCTGCAGGACTTGCACGTCTTGCCCCATGCTGGGCAATCCGAGCGGTTGTCGTGCCATTTCCCCCCGCATCCGCTACATTTGCGAACGGTCTTACTGGAAGGACTGGGCTGGTCACGACTTGATGGGTGTCGCCTCTCCACCTTATTGACTTGGGGATGTTCAGGCTTGCTGAAGCTGCTGGCCCCGGCCATGGCTGCCACAGACGACATTGTGACTTCCACTGACTGTGCATAAGTAAGGAGGTCTGCCAATGACATGCTGCTCTCCCTGAAAGCCTTTTCACGTACCTTCGACGACACACAGTGCTGTACGACCTGAGACTTTAGCTCTGTGTCCATATCTGCAAACTGACAGTGCTTGCCCAAACGCCTAAGACGAGTTACGTAGCTATCAAGGGTCTCCGACTGAGATTGTTTCTCACGGCGGAACAAGGAGATCTCGTATTCCCTATTGCGCTTCGGACTGAAGTGAGCCGTCAGAGCATCCTTCAAGTCGTCGTAACTTGTAATACTACTGCTGTCAAAGGTGAGGTAGACATCAAACACCTCCTCACCGCCACCGTGCAAGAGCTGGGCTCTCTGCCGCTGGTCTTCCGTGATGTTTGCAGCAATCAAATAATTATCGAAACGAGCCAGCCATTTCTCCCAACGAGGGCCAACTGACTCAGGCGGTTCCAGATCAAACGGGTTCAATGATTTTACTGTGCTCATCATGGCAGCTGAATCAAGAACTTCGTCGCCAAATATTATGATCACACCAGAGCAGTTCAGGACAAGGCAAAAGGGAACTGTTGACTTTAACATCAAAGCTAGAACGCCGAACTAGAACGACAGGGAAGCTCAGCAGCACAACGGAAATGCATGCGCGGCTGATACAAACTTAGAGTAGAGGAGTAGAAAGATAATGATCTATCACTTGAGGTAGCTCACTAGTAAGGATATCACACAATGTATGTGATGACATGCGCTAGCCAAACGTGCCTGCCGGTGAGCTGTGTACCTTGTAAAAATACCCCAAAAAACAGCTTTGTGAAGAAGCATTGAACAGAATGCTTTTGAAAAAGGCGCAACTTTCCTCAAGAGCCCTATACTTGCTCAAGTGGAGTCGGTTAACGTATGCACACAAATGGTGTTGCTATATATGGCCTCAGTGTAGCGACTTGTCTTTACGATCTTCCTATAACCTACGTTTTAAAAGTCGATATCCAGGAGGACTGAGGAGCTGGGGAGCTCAAAATCCCATTTTAGAGTAAAATTCTGAGATGGTTTCCCTTCATAGGGGCACTAAAACAAGAAATTGTTCTTTGCTGCCATACTGTACAAGTACAAATTTGCGTTCACGAAATCGTTCGTTATATCACTCCACCAGGAGATTTATTACGTACTAAATTCCGTTTTTGGTCGAGGTCTGTCACCCCGAACGTTCAGAAAAAAACTTCAGTTTGGCACAAACTTTAGTGACTTCATGCCTCCTAATGAATATAGCGAAAGATAATTCCAAACGAAATTTTGTACTTATCCAGTAGTCAATAGGTCAGTTAAATCATGGTAGTACACTCAGATGTCTCTTATCCGGGCACCTTGGGACCGGGCACTGCCCGTATCTCAGATTTGCCCGTATCTCAGATTTGCCCGTATCTCAGATTTGCCCGTATCTCAGATTTGCCCGTATCTCAGATTTGCCCGTATCTCAGATTTGCCCGTATCTCAGATTTGCCCGTATCTCAGATTTGCCCGTATCTCAGATTTGCCCGTATCTCAGATTTGCCTGTATCTCAGGATAACTCATCTACCATGTACTGTATCATAATAATAATTATTATTATTATCATTTATTAAGAAATTTATTTGGCAGGCATTGCACATGTTCAGGTTACAGGAAGAATCCATTGATAAAAATGTGTGGATTTCACAGGTTGGTAGTGACAAAAAAAGCACTTGCGCATACAAAAAAAGTTCAAATCCCCCAATTTCCAAGCTTTTTTGCCATAGGAACTCGAGCTGAAGGTGCCCGGTAGAGAGACGTGCCCGTATCTGAGGCGTCCGGATAAGAGACATTCGGGTGTACTAGGTTCTTCATTTGACCAGGCGAGAGTCTTTTCAGGAGTACTGTGAAAGCCATTATTCTAACCAGGCGCATATATAACGATTTCCCAAAATCGACTAGTTCACGTGTACCAAAGGTAACGATTTTCACTCATTCTCAACGCTCAATAGGACAGTATATGTATCGATTTCTGTATAACGATGTCTATTTACACGACAGATTTCTCCTCGTTAACTCGTTAGAGTTAGCACTTCGTCATATATATGGCTTTTACAGTAACATTTCCTGCTATCGTGGAGTGTGGCAGGTGAACTGTTCATGCAGTCGTCGGCAAGCGTCATGTGGTCCCGTCTCGTCAAATACAAACAAATCTACAACTGCTAAAACGAGAAATTCTGATGAACACATGTGGTTGACTTACTCAGATTGAAAGCACATGCCACAGTGTGCATTTGTCGTGCGACATGCCACTTCGCTCTCTCCTTGCTGTCATGCAAAGTGTAGCTGGGTGATGCCACATTGAGTGGTTGTTCATCATATTTCTCTACCCATGGCTTGTTTCCCTTGGCTGGAGAACCTCCCCTCATTGTAGTCAAAGCGTGATTTAGGCAGTCGACCTCATCACCTCCAGCGGGTAACCGTCCGCCTAGGCGCCTGCACTGCTCCTTCGCCTGTGACAAAGTTGCCGTATTGGCATACACAGCAATGTGAGCTCTGCTTTTCTCACACATGTAGCTACTCTCTATGCACAGAAAACAGCCCGTACACATATACACATACAGACACATTTGAGCGAGAAGGAGGGAGATATGTACTTCCTCCAGAAACAAAAACTTTGTTACTTTCTTGCACTAAATTCCCATGCACAGAAAAGAGCAAGTGCACATAAACACGTACAGACAGATTTGAGCGAGAAGGAGGCAGATATGTGGATAAAGCATTGGGTGTGTAGGCACGCATATGTATAACAATTACATTATCCTAGTTCCGTTGTGCGAGCGTGGATTTATTTAAAAAAAACAGTGAAGAGAACCGCTCAGGCCCACACGTGCACGCAAACACATACACGCACATGCCTATGCACACATACCCGCGCATGCATGCATGCTCGCGCGCACACACACACACACACACACACACACACACACACGCACACAGACATCAGAATAAACAATAACAAAACAGCAAGGAGAGTAGGGGGTGCAAAGCAAGCCTGTGCTGGTGAGGCAAGCGAACAACACTGACCTATGGTTAAAGTAGCTTACCCGATTCAAGTTCACACACAACCTTGTGCTTGGGTGCTGGGTCAGATGTTAGATCATAAAGTTTTTCGTCACTCGCATACTGTAAATGGCCGTGTTGGCTGGCCAACCAGGCAAAGCTGCCCCTGGGACGCAGGAAGTCCTGCACGCACGAGGTCTTAGATGCGATCTTTGCATTGAACGTCTTGCAATGTAAGGTTGCTTTGGCAAATGTCATATCCACGGGGAAATACTTGATGATAGTCGATGGGTGGTAGGGACATCTGATTCCGGCTGTCCAGTTTGAAAAAGAGCACGCACACGCACACGCACGCACGCACACCTGCCCTGTCCTGTCCTGTAGAGCCACTGCCACAGGGGTCACGTGGGCCCCGGAGGGGCATCAGAGAGGAAGATGGAGCACGCAGCCTGATGACGCCGTAGATGGTGGGGCAAACGGAACCGGCGAGAACACACGCATACATGGCTGAACGAATTACGCTGCTGGGCAGTCGGGCGCGGGCCAGTCCTCGAGCACCGGTGACGACCGCGGCCTTGCACAGACCGAAAGCAGCGGGCACACACGCACACACACACACACACACACACACACACACACACACACACACACACACACACAAGCATGCCTCAGACCTTAGACATGCCCATCGCGGAAGCAATGATAGCGAACAGCTATGACACACACACAAGCACACACACACACATACACACACACACGCACATCCATGTTGAATACCTACGGTAGAATATTTTTCGGAAATCAGCTTTATTGTTTTACCAACAAACAAGTCGAGGTCAATATCCTATTTATCACGATTCGGTCCTTCGGCCCTTTCTATTTTCTATAAATTTTCATGATTGCCATATCCCCTAAATTTGATTCTTGGGAGCTATTATAGCCATTTTAGTATAGCTTTGTACCATAGTGTACACAGGATGTTGCATAATTTAGGTTCAAGACTGTAAGAACAACATAGTTCAGCATCTGCGGCACAGTGGCTGGGTGGTATATGCGGTTGCTTAAGATAGATACTTTTGTGGGTTCGAATTCTGCTTGTTCTCTTCCTTTGTCTTCTTTCTTTCAAATTTTCTTGCTGAAGTGGAGAGAAATTTTTTAAGTCCCTACAAAGTCGAAGGATTTCAATGCCTGAGTGGTCGATATAAACAGTCGATACAAGCGGTCGATATTACGGCAATATGGGTAATATAGGACCAGCCAAGGATCACACGAATTAAGGTCGATTCATACGTCATTTCGAGTACCGGAAAAGCGTTGCAAATAAAGTTGATCTGAGCTCAACTATTTCCTGTACGCGAAATGAAGTATGAATCGGCCTTAAAGGGGAAGTTAAGGCAAAAATTAAAATTTCACCAGTTGTAGTCTTCGGGGTGCTGAGTCGAATGGTCTTGGTCCGAGAAAGCTGAGACCTTCCGTTCCTACTTGAATCCCAATCGAACTCGCGCACTTCCACCGAAACTGGGTGACTGCGCCCTACTAGATGGGGATTTGTATGCAAAATGTCACTAAAAGCGCCATTTCGTTCTTATAAAAGCACGCATGACCACGATTGGCCCATATGTTGTAGTCTTTTGGACGCTGAGTCGACTGGTTTTGGTCCGAAAAGGCTGCGATGCAGCGTTCCTCCTTTATTCCCAATTGAACATGGTTGAACAAGCGGTCACGTGCTCCTGGGTGCCCAAATCACCTGGTCACCACGCTAGCGGGCGACAACTTTCACACCAAGATTCAACTCGAGTTCAACTCGAGTGACAGGACTGCACCCAAAAAAGGTCAAACAGGCTAGTAAGTTGTACCCTGCAGGCACGGTGACCAGGTGACTGGTGTACGCAGGAGCACGTGACCACTTGTTCGACCATGTTCGATTGGGAATAAAGGAGGAACGCTGCATCGCAGCCTTTTCGGACCAAAACCAGTCGACTCAGCATCCAAAAGACTACAACATATGGGCCAATCGCGGTCATCCGTGCTTTTATAAGAACGAAAGGGCGCTTTTAGTGACATTTTGCATACAAATCCCCATCTAGCAGGGCGCAGTCACCCAGTTTCGGTGGAAGTGCGCGAGTTCGATTGGGATTCAAGTAGGAAGGGAGCGTCTCAGCTTCCTCGGACCAAGACCATTCGACTCAGCACCCCGAAGACTACAACTGGTGAAATTTTAATTTTTGCCTTAACTTCCCCTTTAAGGCTTTGTTTACATAAGGTGTTTCAATCAGGGTTGAGTTCGGGCCAAGTTTCAACCCGGGTTGAGTCGGGCCAAGTTACAACCTGCCATGAACACCGATTGACTGCCATGTTTACATGACGCCCTGCGCTTGACCCGAGTTGAATATTTGCCCCGGGCTGATTCCAACCCTCCCCCAAGGAGAGGACTGAAATCAACCCGGGCAAGAAATCGTACTAAGGGGAGGGTTGAAATCAACCCCGAGTCAGAAATCGCACTAACGTACTTCTTTGTGTGTCTCGTGCCAGGTTTGAATCACTGCACATGCAAATTTCGCGCGAAAGGATTCAAGTGACCATACAGGACTCTAGAAGTGGACTTTTGGCAGCAAATCAGTAATTTACCTGGGTCAACTGTCTTCATGCAAACACACACCTATTTTTCCATCATAAAGACTTTCAACCCGGGCTGAACTCGACCCGGGTTCAAAATTCTCATGTAAATGCAGCCTTAGTGGATGGCAATATAGAAGAGTGATGAACCCGATGCGCTAAGGTTTATATTTCACGTAAAAGCGTACTAGTGGAATGTATTCTACTTATGCTGACCGTCTTACAAACTGACAGTCAACTCCTCTTAGGCCAGCTTTAACCCCGGGGCAACGGTATATATGGGGTTTATACGAGGTTTATATTGAGCTGGGGTTTATATGCCCAATATAAATCAGGAGCATGATGGAGAAGTTGCCTGGACGTTTGTATGAAAGGTCAATAAAACGACTCCCACAAGCAGCATACCGTCTAACACATCTAGAGAAGAATACAATCTACAGCTCTGGGTGGAATGAATAGAACGTATCAACCAAAAGAGGAAGTTTCTACCAAGATCTGATAGGTCAAAAGCAGACGTCACCCTGCTTTTCCCTGTGAAACAACTGGCCAAAACTCGGCACCGGGAAAAAAACAATACCAAACCCAAAGCCCACGTAAAAGTGGAAAAAAACTGTGGCAATAGGGGTGGGGTGGAATTCTATCGTTGTCATACTATTGTCATACTTACGTATAGTTGGCGAGGCATCAAAGAACGAGGCTGTACATACAGGAGAGCAGAAAATGAGCTTTACTATTATTATTGTAGAAAGGAAAAGGACATATGGATACGAGTTAAGAGTAACTCTCCATCACTGTATCTCTCCATCACTGTGCCTAGTTATTGTACTTTCTGACTGTATATAGTATCATGTTACAGTGATGGAGAGTTACTCTTAACTCGTATCCATAATGTCCTTTTCCTTTCCACATTTATTTATGGCTCAACATCCGAGTTTCAAATTGCACACTATTATTATTATTATTATTATTATTATATCTCCACCAAGCTCTCGCAGCCTTATCCCCTCGTGATGGGAAAGCTGCGGACGGACCTGGCTTTCAGCCTTGTCCGCGACTCCGTCCTGATGGTTCGTGGGAGTCGCCGTGCATTCCGTGCACCTGGTCTGGCGGCGGATGTGGATGCTGTTTCTGTGGAGGCCCGCATTCCCGCCACTACGTGACGCTAAGTCCTCCTGGGGTTTGCCGCTCTCCGGTCCTCTTTCATCCCGTTCTCCCCTCTTTTTTGGGGATTCTTTGTACTTCGCCTTTCTTGTTTTCCTTGTTCCTTTGTTTTTTGTAGGACAGATTTTTGGTGTACTGATTTCGGTCGTTGTTGTGTCTGACTCTATTCCCAATATCTAATTCTGTGGTTGGTTTTCCAACTCATTGGGTTGTAGTTTCCATCATGAGTTTGATTCCATCGTGAGTTTGATTCCATCGTGAGTTTTGATTCTATTTGCTATTTTTCGTTCCATTTTTGAGCTCATATTTTATTTTCCTGATTTCTTCTCCAGTGTATGTTGTATTGCATTTTAATACATTGTGTTAATTTTTGCCCGTAAAAGAGGCTTGCACCATTATTATTATTATTATTATTATTATTATTATACTCATAAAAAGGACACACTTCAGGCTCATTACAAACATCTTGAAAGTTTTTGTCTTCACAAGTATACTTTCAAGCCTTCTCATCAGGTGAAATACAGGCAAGGGAAAAGGAACAGGAACAGTGGATGAAATACAGTAAGAAGGTGGTAAAACAGCGCAAAAAGAAAGAAAGAAAGAAAGAAGATAGCTAAAGTAAACAGCGAAAATTGCAATAATGACACAAAGGTGCAAATGCGAGAAAACTCAATAAGCGCGACATGTAGTGCGACAACAAGAGACAACCACTGGACCGTTAGTTACATGTATGTCCAGTGGTTGTCTCTTGTTGTCGCACTACATGTCGCGCTTATTGAGTTTTCTCGCATTTGCACCTTTGTGTCATTATTGCAATTTTCGCTGTTTACTTTAGCTATCTTCTTTCTTTCTTTCTTTCTTTCTTTTTGCGCTGTTTTACCACCTTCTTACTGTATTTAATCCACTGTTCCTGTTCCTTTTCCCTTGCCTGTATTTCACCTGATGAGAAGGCTTGAAAGTATACTTGTGAAGACAAAAACTTTCAAGATGTTTGTAATGAGCCTGAAGTGTGTCCTTTTTATGAGTATTATCGCATTTTTGTCTCAGAGGAAACTGTATTATTATTATTATTATTATTATTTTACAAGAAGTCGGAGGCGGATAATACTTTAGTAACGAAGGTACGTGTTGGGTCGTAAGTATCCACGCAAACACACATCCAGTCAAAATAAGGCACTTGTCTAAGTATCCGAACGTTTTCGGTCCCTTCTCATCAAGGATTATACAGGGAATGGCTCAAGTTGGAAAGACTAAAACTTATATAGCGTAAAGATATGAGATAACAACACTCGTGACAAGGTGGAAAAAGTATCAAGTTCAGTACGACACAAAAACTCGAAGGAAATAATAATAGCGACAAGAACATAGTGAGCAAATTAAGTTACATTGTTAACACCTCGACGAGGAGTAACACCAAACAATTGTAGCGACAACACATTTTCTTTCTGTACTCAAAGTTCAGGATCTAACTTACGGATATACATAGCTTCTAACACAGCCAGATGCAACGCACATCTACCACGTGACAATATTGAGAACACATTATCACTGTACAACTCACGACAATTGGTACGGGCTGACAGATGTTGCTTAATGGACGAAGTGCAATTCTTAGCTCCGTTGGGTGTAGTCTCCTCCAATGTCCCGTCATCTCGCCTCTTCGCGGCATCACCACTATCCGCCTCTTTGCTTTTCCGCGGCCTTCCACGTTTTCTGACACCAGCCGTTGTGTGCGCTATGCCCAGTGTCCTTTCAGCTACGTCTCCTCCATTGCGGATTTCTATTGATCTTCTTACTCCAACTTGTCCGGTGCTCGATATTGAGGTTCGTTTTCGCGGTCTACCACGTTTTCGAATATTGACTGTTGTTGTCACTTCCGTTGTCGTTGTACGTGCGTCCTCACCAGTCCGTATTTTTACTTGGCTTCGCGTAACCCTTCCCGACGCAGACAGATCCTTTGTCAATTTCGGTGGTTTACGTGTCGGTCTTTCACCATCTTTCACGCTGTTCTCAGCTGGACCCTGCGCTATACACGCGGAGGAGGACGGGCATGCAGTGATATCTTCACAGGAAGGGGAAGATCCACCGATGGACTGGACAGCACATTTTGGAGGACGATAACGGCGAGGACGACACTCACGCGCATCAAGCGGAACAAAACTTAACGGCACATGTTGACGAATGCGCACGCCCAGGGGCTGAAGGGTTCTACCTACATACCGATCTTCACATTGTCGGCATTGAAAGAAATAGATAAGGTTACTTTTACTAAGGGTAGGTAGAACATCCTTCTTCACACTGAACGCACGCACTGTCCCAAATATGACGTACAGCTTGACGCACGGATAAGATGGACATACGATACCACGAACATCCTTCTCCACGCGCGCAGAACCGGCGCCAACCCAGGGTAAACGGAGCACCACTGGGCAAAGGTCAGGTCCAAATTGGATCGGCTTGTCTGTCGCCGGTTTTTCGTTGATAAGCTTGGCCAGAAATTCCTTTGGATAGCCGTTGTTCGTAAATATTGACGTCAGTCTGTCTAATTCGTCCTGCAATAGATGAGGGGAACATATTCTATGCGCACGATAAACTAGCGCTTTCACAAGATGTTTCTTCGATTTCGTTGGAGTATAGCGAAGGATGTTCTACCTACCCTAAGTAAAAGTAACCTTATCTATTTCTTTCAATGCCGACATTGTGAAGATCGGTATGTAGGTAGAACCCTTCAGCACCTGGGCGCGCGCATTCGTCAACATGTGCCGTTAAGTTTTGTTCCGCTTGATGCGCGTGAGTGTCGTCCTCGCCGTGGTCGTCCTCCAAAATGTGCTGTCCAGTCCATCGGTGGATCTTCCTCTTCCTGTGAAGATATCACTGCATGCCCGTCCTCCTCCGCGTGTATAGCGCAGGGTCCAGCTGAGAACAGCGTGAAAGATGGTGAAAGACCGACACGTAAACCACCGAAATTGACAAAGGATCTGTCTGCGTCGGGAAGGGTTACGCGAAGCCAAGTAAAAATACGGACTGGTGAGGACGCACGTACAACGACAACGGAAGTGACAACAACAGTCAATATTCGAAAACGTGGTAGACCGCGAAAACGAACCTCAATATCGAGCACCGGACAAGTTGGAGTAAGAAGATCAATAGAAATCCGCAATGGAGGAGACGTAGCTGAAAGGACACTGGGCATAGCGCACACAACGGCTGGTGTCAGAAAACGTGGAAGGCCGCGGAAAAGCAAAGAGGCGGATAGTGGTGATGCCGCGAAGAGGCGAGATGACGGGACATTGGAGGAGACTACACCCAACGGAGCTAAGAATCGCACTTCGTCCATTAAGCAACATCTGTCAGCCCGTACCAATTGTCGTGAGTTGTACAGTGATAATGTGTTCTCAATATTGTCACGTGGTAGATGTGCGTTGCATCTGGCTGTGTTAGAAGCTTTGTATATCCGTAAGTTAGATCCTGAACTTTGCGTACAGAAAGAAAATGTGTTGTCGCTACAATTGTTTGGTGTTACTCCTCGTCGAGGTGTTAACAATGTAACTTAATTTGCTCACTATGTTCTTGTCGCTATTATTATTTCCTTCGAGTTTTTGTGTCGTGCTGAACTTGATACTTTTTCCACCTTGTCACGAGTGTTGTTATCTCATATCTTTACGCTATATAAGTTTTAGTCTTTCCAACTTGAGCCATTCCCTGTATAATCCTTGATGAGAAGGGACCGAAAACGTTCGGATACTTTGACAAGTGCCTTATTTTGACTGGATGTGTGTTTGCGTGGATACTTACGACCCAACACGTACCTTCGTTACTAAATTATTATTATTATTATTATTCAAAGGATCAGTCGGGGAAGTGAACTGCCTGAAAAGAGAAAAGAACGCCAGACCCACCAGGACTCGAACCTGGGACCCTGCTTGTCATGAGCAATGCTCTAACCACTGAGCTATGGGACCAGGCTGAACCTAGAAGGCGCTGACAAGTTTTTCACTCCAAAGGCAGCTCACAACACGTGCCACACATACTGATGGCACTTGGGTCTTTTTCCCTCCCCCAGGGGACCAACCACGGTCAGTTTCTGGAAACTACCAGAGGTGAAAGAAAGTGATTAAATTTGGAAAGGATGGGAGAACTTCAAATTCAAAGGATCAGTCGGGGAAGTGAACTGCCTGAAAAGAGAAAAAAACGCCAGACCCACCAGGACTCGAACCTGGGACCCTGCTTGTCATGAGCAATGCTCTAACCACTGAGCTATGGGACCAGGCTGAACCTAGAAGGCGCTGACAAGTTTTTCACTCCAAAGGCAGCTCACAACACGTGCCACACATACTGATGGCACTTGGGTCTTTTTCCCTCCCCCAGGGGACCAACCACGGTCAGTTTCTGGAAACTACCAGAGGTGAAAGAAAGTGATTAAATTTGGAAAGGATGGGAGAACTTCAAATTCAAAGGATCAGTCGGGGAAGTGAACTGCCTGAAAAGAGAAAAAAACGCCAGACCCACCAGGACTCGAACCTGGGACCCTGCTTG